TGGAAGGTGTCTTGCTTCTCTGGCTTTTGTCTAGCAAGAGAGAGAAAGTTGGGGAAGACAGTGAATTAAGAAAGACAATGAGTTTTAGAGGGATTAAATGATCTCTTCAGAAGTCCAATGAATTGAGTTAATAAGAGTGTGTTAAATGGACTCTTGTGAAGTCCAATTGATATAGTTAATGAGTTAATTTTTGTATTTAATTTAATTAGAGTTTATTTTTGTATGTTTTTTATTTCTTATATTTTATCGTTTTGAACATTTTATGTTGTAATTAAAATGATTTAGTAATATATCTTTTTTGGGTATTAAATTTAAATTTATTTCTATAATTAATTTTAAATAATATATAAAACATTGAAATTGATTTTTTCTTAATTTTTTAGAAAAGAATTTATTTTTACTTTAAACTTAAATTGATTTCAAATTATAACCTGATTGTTTAAATTGATTTTATCGAAGGAGTTGATAAACAAAATAAACTATGAGTTCATTTTTTAACAACCAATATTAGTTAATTTGTTTACAAGTTAATTTAATGTTGTGATTATTTGCTTTAATTTAACCATTTTTCTCTTCGTTATTTTAGCATTGTTCTATCATTTAAAAATAAAAGTAAAAATTTGTAAGAAGTATCCAAGTGCCTGTATCCAAAATTCGAATCCATTTTAACCATATCCCCATATCTTAATTTTTATAATGAGGTGGATCCGATTCCTATATATGTACTCGTATTCAATACCCACACCAAAATCTGAGCATCATAAGTTGGTACTTATGGGATGTGCCTCTTTTCCATCAATAATTGGTGTTTACAACACTTAATTTATTTCGATTTTGGGCATCAATGATAGGTTGAATCTAGTGGAAGCCATACTTTATACGTCTAAGGAAAAAAATCATTTTTTTTTTAAACTATGGGAATAAATCATGTTGGTATCCCCATTTCTTTTTCACATAAATTAAACACTTATAAGTGGAATCCAACTCTTACTTCAACAATGGATTTTTTCTTCATTGGAGTGGGTTTTCGCTTTCACCAACTGACCCCCTCAATAAAATAAAAACCATCATTCCATGTCTCATACACGGTACTAGACAAATTGGGTAGATTTAAGAAAGAGAGAGATGCTAAAATCTTGCTTATTATATTGTTTGAAAATGCTCATTTTAGTTTGAAAATTTTATTAAACCACCTGAATCATGTTTCAAATTATAGAATCAACGGAGTTTATAACACTGTCTAATAATGTGTACCATTAAAGTTAAAGGGCATCGAATCCATTAACAAATGACTTTTAAGATACTCTTTTCATTTTTTGAGGTGGGCTCTCACAAATCCAAGTGCCCACTAGTGGAGACTTGTTCTTGTATTCAAGAGCAATGCCCTCGTTCCACCCATTAAGGCATAATATATTAATTTTTCCAAGATCTCTTCATCTTATATGTAGTTCCTAGGATCACTTCTCCACTAGTTGTTGCATTTCTTTAGCAATTTTATAAGTTCGAGTTTATTAGTTGAGCAGTGCTATAAGTACAAATTTTATACAACTGTCTTCCTAAGATTTGTTGTTGCTAAAAAAAAGTCTTTCTGTACCTATTCTGTTAAAAAATCTATAGTTGCAAATTAATTGTTATTAGTTCTTCATGTTATGAACCAATTGATGTAAAAGCTTAAACAATAAAATAGAACCACGTTTATAATTTAAATAGTCTTCAAGACGTCCTTTATCATGTACTAAGACGTGAACAATTCCTTTGAATGGATGGCGACGCACTTGAATCTAGAACTTTTCCTAAATAAGGTTAAATTTAATTTGTTGTCTATTCTAGACCATTTGACCTAAATAAGGTTGCTTTATTTCCCATTTTATCTTCATCTCTATGTAACTTAGTACATTTTTACCATTTTAGGGTTAATTTTTTGAATGAAGCTGTTCGAACAGGCTCAACGTAGCCCTGTCCGTCTATCACAGTTGTAATTTTTTTCTGCAGGGTGGACTCAATGGTTACAGTCTAAGAATCACATAAAGACAGCCTAAGATGGTTACCTAATATGCCTTTATGCTACCAATAATTGCTCTATTATTGCTCTAAGACATGACAGTTTAACTTGATTCAGTTAATTAGGAGGACAATAATAAGCATTTTGACCCATTTACCTACCCTAAATGCTGTCATATTGTCTATTATGAAAGTTTACTTCAATAACTGTATTACTTAGCCAAGTAAGTTCAGTTATCGTGATCGATAATTATACACATGTTCACTTATCCATCAACTTTATTGAAATTAATGTTTAATTTTAACTGAATTAAAAAATTAAATCCCCAAAAGAGACTGGTGTAGAAGATCGGCTTGTGTTTATGTTTATTAAATTCGTAATGGATAAACACAAGATATATATAAAACTATATGCTAAATTTCCTGCAAGCATGTATTAATTACAATTTTTTGATTGAATCTTGCTGTTAATTCTGACTCCAATATGTCTTTACAACTATTAAGATGCCTTAATTATGTTTAAGATAGTGGAAGTATGGTTTAGAAACTTGAAAAAAGAAGATGATTAATTAGAAATTAAACAGTGTTTGACTGCCTAAAGTTATCAGCCTTTAATGTCTGAATGAATCGATGCATGTGCATATATATCTTTGTGCCAAAAAATATAGACCATCCCTCATCTTCGGAAGTGTTGCAACTTCTGTATATGCATGATTATTGGTTCGTACTTGTTTGAAAAATGAAAACTCTACTAAATTTGGGTGAAATGCGAAGATGTTTTAATATTTATCATTTATGGTTCCCAATTAATTTCCCCTTATTCTATCCTAGTTAAAATGATGGAGAAATTTAGCATTCTCGGCACTTGTTTGGTTTTGCTAAAAATGAAATTTTTAATGGATTTTGATAACTTAATAAAATTTATACTTGAAAAGTTGATAACTCTTGTGGATCACAGAAAACGTGAAAATTAATTATTGATTTTGACTTTGATATTGTTATCAATTTTTTTAGTTAAACCAAACAAGGGCTTAATAATATGAGTTGAGATTTATTATCCAATTTGTTGTTCACTCAATTAATTATTGACACATGATTTTAAATTAATATGCCATCAATTTTAATTTTTCACTTTAAAAACTATTTGATACTGTTAAATACTTTCTCTATCACGAAATGATGTGTCAATGATTAATTTGGTGAATAACAAATTGGACAATAAATATTGGATGACGGTCTTAACTCTAATAATATTAGGAAACTCAATGGCATCGATTCCGTTAAGATGGAATTGCTGGCATGTTTGGGATGTAAAATTCGTCCCAATTGAATAATATTTGAGAAGAAAAAAAAGGGTTAAGATTTCACTGCTTATTCCTCACAATGTTGTTAATACTGCGTTTAAAACATACCCTGATTTTTATTTTTATTTTTTTAATAGCATGCGTCATATGAAGGATTGGTTAGTCTAAATAATAAGTCATGATGACTAATCAACCGATTTTGAGGTGAACAACGATCAATTTTAAACTAAAATATACTATTCAGTACTATTTACCAAACATTCACAGTAGTCTGTGTTTTCCTTTTATTTTCATTTTTTATTTTCCCTTGGTCGATTAGATGGGAGTCAGTCCAGGATGCTTAATTATATTGACAAGCTTAAATTCTTTGGATTATATACTGATTCTTTGCATAACAACTTGTAATTTTGAATTAAAATTCTACTAAATTGGTCTCATATCATAAAATATTGATGCCCGGATAGAATTATTCCTTCTCATTAAGATTTGCAAATTTTTTGTGCTAGGAATGTTCCCATTTGGCCGCCTATTCAAGCTTACTATACTTTTTAGCACGTTTGTAAAGATTTCTGGTACAGCTCACCAAGACACCAACTGCCGGCTCCAAACTACAACACACGTGTGATCACTTCACTGCCGTCCGATTTGGTAGCGAAGTGTATTTATAATCAAGACAACACTTAACTCACATAGCTTGATGAAAAGGGCATACGTTTATTCAAAGATAACGACATGAATAAAGATGAGAGTTTATTCTACTAACGTAAAGGTCTTACATTTTATAAAAAGCAAAAAAAAAAAAAAATAGAGTTCCCTTTGGATCGTTATAATTAAACAAATTAGGTACATAAATTCAACATCACCCATATCCCTAATAAAACTTTGAGGGTAGGAGTCGATTGTTTCCTCTATGTTGGTAGGGAGGCGCTCGTCCTAATGCCCTAGTAGGGATGATTTTTTCCATTCCGCTAAGCGTTTGAGGAAGTACATGACCTGAGCATGTTTGGCATGTAAAATTCGACCCAATTGAATAATATTTGAGAAGAAAAAAAGGGTTAAGATTACACTGCTTATTCCTCACAATGTTGTTAATATTGCGTTTAAAACATACCCTGATTTTTTATTTTTTTTAATAGCATGCGTCATATGAAGGATTGGTTAGTCTAAACAATAAGTCATGATGACTAATCAACCGATTTTGAGGTGAACAACGATCAATTTTAAACTAAAATTTACTATCCAGTACTATTTACCAAACATTCACAGTAGTCTATACGTCTTCCTTTTATTTTCATTTTTTATTTTCCCTTGGTCAATTAGATGGGAGTCAGTGCAGGATGCTTAATTATATTGACAAGCTTAAATTCTTTGGATTATATACTGATTCTTTGCATAACAACTTGTAATTTTGAATTAAAATTCTACTAAATTGGTCTCATATCATAAAATATTGATGCCCGGATAGAATTATTCCTTCTCATTAAGATTTGCAAATTTTTTGTGCTAGGAATGTTCCCATTTGGCCGCCTATTCAAGCTTACTATACTTTTTAGCACGTTTGTAAAGATTTCTGGTACAGCTCACCAAGACACCAACTGCCGGCTCCAAACTACAACACACGTGTGATCACTTCACTGCCGTCCGATTTGGTAGCGAAGTGTATTTATAATCAAGACAACACTTAACTCACATAGCTTGATGAAAAGGGCATACGTTTATTCAAAGATAACGACATGAATAAAGATGAGAGAAAACTGTTTATTCTACAAACGTAAAGGTCTTACATTTTATAAAAAGCAAAAAAAAAAAAAAAATAGAGTTCCCTTTGGATCGTTATAATTAAACAAATTAGGTACATAAATTCAACATCACCCATATCCCTAATAAAACTTTGAGGGTAGGAGTCGATTGTTTCCTCTATGTTGGTAGGGAGGCGCTCGTCCTAATGCCCTAGTAGGGATGATTTTTTCCATTCCGCTAAGCGTTTGAGGAAGTACATGACCTGTCGAATGTGAAACAACAAAGCATTAATAATCTAACACGTAAATTAATTCAAAACTTAAATAAAGGTAGAGAATCTTCATCAATGTACTTGCCTCGGATGGTTCTTGCAATGAATACGAGGCATTTGTTTCTTTAGGAGATTTAGAAACTAGAATTCCAAAACCTTGTCCTCTCTTGCGCAAAACCTGAAAATTAAAAGACGCCATCAATTCATGTATTAAGCTTTTGTGTGGTTTAGCTGAAAACTTGTTAAAAATTTTAAGTTAAAATTAACAATTAATTTCAACTACATATCTCATGAGGCCTACAATTTTTTTCAACCTTTCAATCAAATATTAACATTCATAAGAATTTACAAAAATTGTGATTTTTGCCAAAAAAAAAAAAAAAAAAAAGAAGGAAAAAGAAGGAAAAAGGAAAAAAGGTCTAAAACTTTCTTATAATAGAAATCTCAACTCAAGAAAGAATTAGTACTTTGAATGCATCTTCATCGGTGCGATCATCGCCAATATAAATTGGTAAGACATTGTCTGATTTGTCGTAACCTGAAGATCCAATCAACAAAAAATTTTAGTACTAAAAGAGGGTTTTATATAAATAGTAACTAAAAAATAGTATTCTTCGCTCACCTAATGACTCTAACAAGAATTCAAGTGCATTTCCCTTGTCCCATTTAATGGCGGGACGAATCTCCAATACCTTCCTTCCTTGGCTCAATCTGAGCTTTGGATAGTCCTTAATCACTTCTTTAACTTGCTCTGCTAGTTCGCCCCAAATCTGATAAACAAGAAAAGGAAATTAAAATCTCTTTCAAATTTCTCCATCGGAAGAAAATCCAAGAAATGACGTAAAGGATGACTTTTTTTACCTTCTCATCTACGCAACGGAAGTGTACGGATAGACAAAACTTGTTGTTTTCAACTTTTGCACCTGGGACGAATTTGATTTTCTCCAACAAAATTTTATTTACCTGAAAAAGATGACTAGTTAGAATTGAGACACAGTGGTAATAAAATTTTGGAATTTCCTGTGAGAGTGAAATAGATAGAAAACCTACCTCATCAATCATTGGCAAAAATTCTCTGGCAGGCTGGCAGAAGACAGATTGATTTCCCTAAACAGATTATAAACCCAAAAAAAAAATAATAATAATCAAAATAAGAAAAAATTATGCAACAAAATGTATAGTACTGAATGGACCATTAAGAGTGATGAAAACTAACTTTTCTTTGTTTTTTGTGTCCTTTTGTTGGTCCCAAGATGTCCATTCCATGACTCCCTGCATAATAAAGCTCTGATAATTTCACAAAATTATACACTTTGGCTCTGCACCTTCCACTAACAATGGCTGTGGGGAAAAATTTGGCAACGTCTCTCACTGCTTCTCTCATCTGATTATAATACAAAATGGAGAGAGACAAGATTAATGAAAATAAGTTGGAAATGAATTATAAGTAGAGATTTTCATAATGAAGAAATTAGTTAACCTCATTAGTCATGAAAGCTCGATCAGGATCCTCAACAATGGGTGATAATGTACCATCATAATCAAGAAACACCACTATGTCCTTTCCCTTTGAAGCATTCATGATAGCCTCGAACATGTTTAAAGCCGATGGATGACGAATCTGTTTAAGCATATATTATCTGTCAGGCAAATAATTACTTATTTTCAAGATAAGTGCTTATAATTTATGTAGAGTCGATGATGCTTACAATCCAGGTGTTTTTATCTTCAGTTTCAGTGGCTCGACGAGTTGGCGAAGAAGCCCGCATTGAATCAATAAAGGCGTTATTCCTGGTTTCTCTTCCATTAGTTTCAAACTTTATAATCTTCTTTATTAAAAAGTAGCCAGTTGTTGCGACCAGTGGCTTCGGCATGGCGGGTGAGTATAGATTGGATTCAGACATAGCAACTGCAATTGCCATTTTAAGGTCTGATTTTGCATCAGAAATCACCAATTTTTGGTTGGTCATTTCACTTTTTTTTCTGCAATCTGCATTCACATATGTAAGGACTTATAAAATCGTAGCGTCAAGAGTACAAAACATGTAAGTAAAGTACCTGGAAAAGACTTGGAAGTCTATTGCCTATTGGCAATGAAGTTGTGAAGAACAGAGGAGGATATGAGGTGGGTGGGGTCTGGTCTAGTTTATGAAGAGAAAGATAGTTGGAAAAGACACGCACTAAATGACTAATTGAACGCACGATTTACAAAGGAAGGTGTGGACAATTTATAAGTAACTTCCCAGAAATAAGAGACGAAGAATCCCAACTTTTTTCCGGTTTTTCTTGTACAATTATTGCCCCTCGAGACTTAACTCGGGTCGGTTTGTTCACAATTTTCAAATACTTTTTTGGATTCCTTTTCTATATTCTCTTCTAGAGCTAGAAATATGACTTCTTGTCATTTTTATTTTTTTTTGTTTCGAACGTGCCATTATTGAAGTTTCTTAATGAATAATGCTTCTTGAACAGAGGCTTTTGACAAGGTGAAGCTGAGTGTGTTTTTTTTAACTGTTTAATCATGTGTTGTATGTGTTCTTTTACTTTTTAAGTGATATTGAGTTTATCGCTGTAATAAGATTGTTTCTTAATTGCCACTCGTTATTTAGCCCTTGTTGGGCTCTCCTTTTTTTTTTTTTTTTTTTTTTTTCCTAAACCACATTTTTTATAAAATTTAATTTCAACCACATTCTTTCTCAAAAAATAATTTTACACATAGACCTAAAACATTTTTTTTAATCACATATTTTCCAAAAAATCATTATTTCAAAATTCAATTTTCCAAGGAAAAAAGGCTCTCAAATTAAAATATCGATGTTGGAATTTGGTCACTCGACATTTGAGTTTTTGGACGGATCGAATAGCTTGTTAGAGCATTGTGACCTCTGATTATATTGAACCATTTAATATAAAAACTCAACTTTTTGAGTATTTTAATATTTATATTATTTAAACATTGTCTTCAACATATTGAACATTTGATTTTAACACTTAAGTTATTAGATAGACTCGTACGCGTATCATTAAAATATTTCAACATGCTATTTCACGTATAGTCTTGATTCATATTTCCCAACAAAATTTAAAACTTGAGCTGTTCAATAAATGGGAGGTTTGAACCAATGCATTTTTTATTTTATTTTTTTACTTTAATTTAATTTTAGAACTTGATGATCCAACTTAAAATGTCAAAATTATTTAAAGGTATAATACAAACTTTTATATATTAGTATCTTTTATCTAACTGACTTAGAATTTACCATTAACAAATTGTTTGAATACTCCATGCAAATTCATAATTTCAAAATGCACTTCTTGAAAAACCAAAACTTTTTTGAAGAAATCATATGATTCACAATTTTTATCAATTTTTTAACTATAAATTTCATCAATTTTTTTTTTTTATCAAATTTGCTAAAAATTTTATTTTTAACTAAACCAAACATAAGCTTAGTTCCATTGCTCTCTCTTTTCCCTCACTTGTCGAGACTTAAGATTGGTGGAAAGGTTTTTATTTTTATTTTTTTTTTACCCCTCAAGGGAGAATCAATTACATGATAAAGTTTTGCTCTTACCTCTTGACTTAGACTTGGTCTCATAAAAATGCAATTTCAATATAACTTAAATGATGAAAGAAATCTTTTGTACCTAAACTAGAATTAATGTCGGATTCAGGAGTGGGCAGATTCCTAAAACAAAGTTTTATCGAGTTACTTGGTGGATCAATTTCTGGTTACAATTTTCGAACGTTAATAAAGGTTCTCAATGTTATTTTCAAGTACCTTTGGCGTACTTCGTAACGTATCTTTCAATTTGTAAAACCACTAAGTAATTAAGTTGCAATAGCGAGATAAAAAATGGCTACATGAGATAAATTGGATTATTTCGGTCTTTATTTTTGGATCTTGGTACCATTTTGAAGAATTCGTAACTTTTATACTAAGCAAAGCATATACGATAATCGAAACTAAAAATTGTTAACTGGTGGACTTAAAATAGCTAGTCAAAGATGACTACTAAAATGGATTAATAATTATGGCCCCGTTTGATCCACATTATTTGAAAAAAAAAATACATTCCTAAACAGTGATTGCACATCATTTCAATCACATGTTTTTCAATAAAATAATGTTACACGTAAATTCAAAATTTTTTCTTATTTTTTAACAACACATTTCTCATCATTACACTATTCAAAAATGCATTTTTATGAAAATAATATAACTTAAACAAGGGCTATATCTCGTTCTTGCTAAGTTCATTGTCAACCTAAATAAAATTCAATTTGACATCAATTGGCACTTTAAAGTTGGACTCGAAACTTTCACATGTTTTGAAATCCATAAATTTCTCATCTGACAATGCCATGCAAAAACATGAATTGTACCTGTCATTAAACCTAATATTAGAAACCCTTTGCTGCGCCCCTTGAAATTGTAATTGAAACTAACAACTCTAAACCGAATTTTATGAAAACCAGCAGCGTATCGCTATGCAAATGAATTTACATATTAAGATTAATTGAGGATTGTCTTTTTCTTCATGTATGTTCTGATTCTTCTGATTTCATTAGTCAACAATGATATAATTAAGTTTTTTTATTATTATTATAATAAATCGTGTTCTAAACTGTTGGCTATAATGCTTTTTGAACTTTGTTTTTTGTACACTAATTTTTGACACTTTGATTGACACTTGTATTATTGTCAAGTGTCAATTGGATGAAAAAACTGTTTAATAACATAATGTCACGTGACAAAGTGTAAATTAAAGTATACACTATGATGTATATGTAGTAAGGTTCATGTTTTTGAGTTTAAGTATGTCTCACTGACTTGGGCTACTAATTTTTTATTTATTAATTGTTTTATACTTATACATATTGGGGGTTGGTGAGCCCATCATACTACACGTTCATATCCTAGGGACCTAGACCACGAATTGACCTTGTATTCTTCTTCTTTCTAACATACATGATCGATCTAACGCTGAGCCCCCCGCCCCCCCTTTTATTATTATTATTAATTTTAATTTCAATCTACCTGGTCGATGCTAATGGTGAGAGATAAAAACTATGGGAGCAAATGGAATTAAATACCGCAATATGATGTCGACCACCATTTTTGTTTTTGTTAGTAATTATAATGAAATCTGAAGTATGAAGCTCTAGTATTGAAGACGAAATATATGCGTGTTTGCTTTGCTTGTGTACGATTTCATTCGTTTTTGTTGCTCTAGTAAAGATTAAGGTTTGATACAAATTATCTTTTTTGTTTTTGCTTCATCGATAAATCTTTCATATCTTAAAACATCAACTTGTAGAGTAAAAATTACACCTACCATATTTTCACGAGGGCTTTGGTTGTCAACTGTCAAGGTTTTTTATTTTCAACCTATATTAATAAAGGTTGGATGCACTGCATGGAAACAAGGTATAAGAAATTTCAAGAACCTTTTCTTGTTGAAAAAATTGCATTCCACCTACGTCTTTTGAATATGAATTTCTGTGAGTCAATTGTATTGTTCTAGGAATGACGAAAGATGTCATTGGAATAATAAAGCGACGTCCAAAAAATAGGCCCCTTAGTTAGACTACTGTTTGAGTGAAATAACTGAAGGGAAGTCCCATAGAACTGTCCAATAATTGAATCCTTTTTTTGTTTTCCTCTTAGAAAAGCATGTCATTCGTCGCCCTTTTCAACAGTTCTTTTGTCCTAACTTTGCCTTTAATTTCGTGTATAATCAAAACCCAAGGCCATGAACACGTTTCAAATTAATTCAATGTAGATTTTTTTGTAGATTTTGGCAAAAGTTAATAAAACGTCTGATTGAAAAGTTATGGATCTCATCCCAAGAAATACAGTTAAAATTATATGTTTATTTTAACTTGAAATTTTTATGAACTTGTCATCTCCACCAAACATGGGTTAAGTTTACTGCTTTTAGAGAGAAAAATGAAGATGGTCAAAATGAAAGAGACAAATCCTAAAGATTCTATGTTAAAATCAATAATCTCAAATTAAATGAACTTAAAAATTATGGAATAACTTTTCCATTAAGGAACCTTGCTTTATCCCTAAGCATCATAGAATCGTAATGCTAGGAGACCAAAATTGAACTGTGCAGCATCTTTGGCACTTGGGTGTGGACACGAATGCACAAGATTTCTGTAACTAAAAAATTGAAATAAAATTTGGAAGTTGTCTTGTTCAATTCTATCAAATAGTACAATTATTAGCTTGTTTGGTTCGAATTAAAATTTGATTTTAATTTAAATCAAAATCAAACAATCAATATTATACACATATTTCATGTGTTCCATAATTTTTTAACCAAACATTTCAAAAATTTCTATCACAATCAATTAAAAGATCTAATTTTAATTTCTATCAAACACCCTCTTATGCTGTAATTTGCATGATAAAGGTTGATGGTAGGATGGCACTATGTATTAAACATGCAATAAGAGCGTATAGAAATGAACACTAGAATAAACTAAGTGCTTATTTGTGAAATCTTAAAAAGTTGAGATCATATAACAATCAATCTAAGTCACACATTTCATATGATTCACAATTTTTATCAACTTCTGAACAAGATATTTGATCATTTTTTTATCAAAATACTGAGTCCATATTCAGTAGAAATTCAAATTCAAATTTTAATCTAAATCAAAGTCAAAAATTAATTTTAATCACATATTTTATGAAATTCACAATTTTTCAATCACAGATTTCTTCAATTTTTATTAAAATTTATTAATAACTCGATTTTAACCCTTACCTAGCAGAGACTAAATGTTTTATTTGTCAAAACCCCCCCGCCCCCCGCCCCCCAAATTTCAGCTTCTTATTGGGAATCTACAAAGCATGCTGCAAAGTACAATATTACTAGTCCAAGTACTAGAAGGTCAAAGATATCGACACCAAGACTCACTTTTTGGTTCATTGGTGCATATGTATTGGGTCAAATTATTAGTTGTTTAATTAGTTGCCTAACCGCATAAGTTTGGCTTCAATGCTTCGGTAATGCAGAATCATGCTTTTATATTGTAACTAATTCGCATCAATTGATTACATTTTCAACATTAAATAAAATACTGTCAATTTTTTTTTTATAACGAAAAGTCATCCTGTACATTAAAAAAGAATAGCAAAAATGTGAAAGTAAGAAAAATTTTGTGACATTTTTGGCATGATGTATTAAA